TAGAAACCCTGTCTCTACTAAAAATACAAAAAATTAGCCAGGCGTGGTGGCAGGCACCTGTAGTCCCAGCTACTTGTGAGGCTGAGGCAGGAGAATGGCATGAACCCAGGAGGCAGAGCTTGCAGTGAGCCAAGATCGTACCACTGCACTCCAGCCCGGGCAATAGGGCAAGACTCCGTCTAAAAAAAAAAAAAAAAAAAAAAATAGTTCCTGCTGTGTGCTAGGCTTTGTGTGTGCTTCGCACTTTTATATACTTTATATGGATTTGCACCTAGTGGGTACTCAAAAAATACTAAGCTTTGGCCATCCAGAACATATGCAAAAGACAGCAACCTGAGTGGTGAGAGATGATGAAAACCGTTAGCTGAGCTGTTTCATTTAAAGAAGAAAAGATTCAGATGGAAAGCGGATAATTATTTTGAAATGTGTTAAAAGCCTGCCCCTTGAAAATAAGGTTACACACAATCTGGCTCCTTAGAATCATGGCCAATTCCAGGTGGTAGGACTTTTGACCAGAACTGATCTCGACGGATAAGGAAAGTGTTATAGATTCAAGCAGCAGCTGAGTGGTTCTTCTAAGGGCTGGATTACAACCTGTCAGCAGTGTTGTAGAGAATGTTTTACTGGAGATAGGATTTTAGATTAGACGACCTCCCGTTATTGCTAAGTATGAAAGCACAGTGACTGTGTTTTGAATGCTTCTAGCGGTGATTATCAACCTTTGAGCCAGCTCTCCAGTTTTCTGTGTGTACTGTTAAGAAGAGGTGTTGCCAACAACGTTGGCATGGTGGAAGCAGCACTGAATGTGAATTTGAAGCCAGAAGATCTGGTTTCAAGACTGCAGTGCTTCTTAGTAGTTGTCTGCCTACAGGGCGATCATTTAATCCATCTGAGCTTGTTGCTCATTTACAAAATGAGGATGATATCATCTACCCAACAGGGTTGTTGAATATTGACTTTGATTGGATACTACACAAATACAAGATTATGTTGTTGTAATTATTATTTTCTGAGTTATCTCTTATCTCTATACTTACATTTTTCATTAAAAGTTTTACAGTTTAGAAGATACTTTAAAATATCATTTTTCCCAACACAGCCTTTCTAAAGTGTTTCAAAATCTATTTACAGGTTCTTAGTGATACGTGGGGTGTCTTAGCTAAACAACAGACACATGTAAGGTAAATATGCTCTCAAGAATTTTATTACCTCCTCTGTTCATTTATTAAATAGATATTTACAGTGTATTAATTTTATACTTACATGTTGTGTACCCAATATTTGATAATTTTTTTTTTTGTGGTCCATTCCCTTCTTGGCGTTTCTTCTTATTTCCTATCTGTGTAGAACACAGCACATCACTTATTCATCCTTCAGATGTCATCCAGTACAATCTGACAGTAGCCCTCCCCATAATCTACACTCGAAGGACGCAGTTTTGTACTTCAGTTCAGCAGGGAAAGTAAATTATTATGTGAGTGGTTTTAGGACCATTGGACTGCCTTTTGGGAAATGAGCAGGGAAATATAAAACTGGATTCATACTTCTCACTTTTCACAGAAAATAAATTTCAGATGAAGCAGCGAATTAGGTATAGGAAAAAAATAAAACCCCAAAATTAACCAAGAGAGTATGTTTATAATCTGAGAGTTAGAGAGGCCTATAGCATGCTTGGTATTTTCCTCCATCACACCCTTTATCTTACTCTTTCCATTTATCACCCTTTGTACTTAAATGTTGATGTGTGACCTGTGTCTCCTGAAGGGAGCGACCATTTTTGTTCCACAGTTTATATACAGTGCCTGCAAGATAGTAAAAAATAGTAGTTGAATGAGTGAGTATTTACATATGACTAATGAACACGAAAAGGTAGTCTTGATCCTATGGTAAAGACATTCAGGTTAAAGTGAAGACCTTTTCACTTCTCATATTTCTAAAAATTAATAGTATATCCAATGCTTGCAAGAGTGGGAGGTAGTGGATGGGAGGGAAGTTTGGCAGTACACAGTAAAACATGTAGTGGGCCTATCCTTCAGCCGTGCAGTTCCACCAGTGCAAGTATACCTTCTAGAGATGCTCACAGAAATACAGAGATGATGGGGAGAAATGCCTTTGGTAGTATTGTGTATAATGTGAGAAATGGAAACATCCAAAATATCTCCTATGATCCAATCATAGAGTGGAATGTTAGGCCATCTTTATGGAAATAGGTCCAGTATACATTATTGAATTTTAAAAATTGCCAGTGTGTGTGTGTATAGGATGAATATACTTCTGTTTAAAATTTGGAGATTTTTGTGTGTTTGTGCATAGAAGTGATCTGGAAAGATAAATCCTGTAATTTATTAAGAGTGTGGGATTGGAGGATGGGGTGAAGGTACTTTTAACTCTACTTTTATTCTTTTGTGGGATTTTGGGGGGACAAGGATTGTCGAATGTATGTATCTATATTTTCTTTTCTTTCTTTCTTTCTTTTTTTTTTTTTTTTGAGCAAGCATCACTCTGTTGCCCAGGTTGGAGGAGTGCAGTGGCACAATCTCGGCTCACTGCAACCTCCGCCACCCGGGTTCAGGCAATTTGTCTGCCTCAGTCTCCTGAATAGCTAAGACTACAGGCAACCACCACCATGCCTGGCTAATTTGTGTATTTTTAGTAGAGATGGGGTTTCACCATATTGGCCAGGCTGGTCTTGAACTCGTGACCTCATGATCTGCCTGCCTCAGCCTCCCAAAGTGCTAGGATTAGCCACTGCACCTGGTCCTATATTTTCTTTTATAATTTGAATATACACACCCTTATGTTATTCCCTTACCTCCAAGTCTCTGCCAACATAATGATAAATTATTGCACATACTCCTAAGAGAATCCTTGTTCTCATTTAGAAACAATTTGCTGTAACTATGCCTTTGTTTATACCTGTAACATTTGAGTGGAGGGCTAAGGGGGAAAGAAAAGGTTCTGGTTTACAATGCCAAAATTTTTCTTCATTTGAGGTGCAATTATTTTTGAAGAGCTGAGGAAGAAGCTACGAAGTTTCAGCTCTAGTATGCAACTCTGGAAGAGGAAGGTAGAACTTTTCACAGAAACAAAACTGTCCCTTCAAGAATAATAACTCACCTGTGGAAACAATTATAGGGAACCGTTGAGTTTCATGGGGTTTTCAGTTCAAATAGGATCAGAGCTCTTTTTTGGAAGAGGAGTGGCATGCTGACATTTTATTTTGCATAACTACCAAAGCCCGTGTAAAAAGGGGAAGAGTAGGACATAAATTTTAACTATGAAAGATGTGAATGCCAATATTCTCTTTACTCAAAGATCCAGGAAGTAAAGTGGGATAGAGGCAGCATGATGTAGTAAAAAGTATATTGGTTCTGAAGTCAGTCAGAATATAGTCCTGGCTGCCACTTAGTAGCTCTGTGATTCCCTTTCCTTGGCTGTAAATTGGGGTAATAAATGGTTGTAGGATTAGAGTTAATGGAATGTGCTAAGTATATTAACATTGTAAGTACTCAACAAATGGTAACTGATGGTTTTTACTTGGTGTGAAAGAAGAATAAAGAAAGAACTGTTTCATCTCCTTCACTACCCCCTTATGTGTCCTGAGTTTGCTAATATATTTTGAGGCCAAGTTCTCAAATTAGATTATATGCTACCTGGATTAACAGTTAATTGATACACTTGTTCATTCATTAAAAATGTTGAGCTCTAAGTGTCAGGTATTACTCTAGGTCTTGGGAACATATCCGTGCTTAAGAAAGAGAAGGTGTGTGTTGTCAACTCACACATTCCCGTCTCTGACCCAGACTTCTCCCTTTAACTGAGATTTACACATATAACCACCTATTTGTCATCCCTACTTGGTTGCCTAGTGAAAATCTCAAAGGTGTTTTTCATTCCATGCTTTGCTGGGGTATCACTAGTGAGGGAGCTGGGACACCACAGTGTGCCTTTGTTGTCCTAATACATACCCATCTAGGCAAATAGTTAGGATATAACACAACATTATCATTCTTCATTAACTTTCTTAAAAGAATATAGCCCTAGTTTTGGCATGTGACTTTTAGTTATTTTGATTTGCCTCTATGTGTCCTGAGAGAATGTTATAGAAGTTGTAAACTCCTATTTGCAAGCTGAAATGCAAATATATGAAGTAAGTGCTTCAATAATGAATTGGTAGTAATATATTGTTTTCTGTTCCAGAAAACACCAGTTTGATCATGGAGAGGTAAAGACTTAATATCACTATTATTTTACTTATCTTAAAGTTGCATGCATTTGGACTTTCCTTTCTAGTTCCAGTTTCTAACTTTGTTAGCAATTGTCAGCAATCATCTTGAAAATAGCCTGGTATGTGTTTTTATGAGAATGCTACATGCAGATTCACTGATCACTCATTTGTTAAAATTAACTAGGAAACTCATTTGTTCTGCTCTGATCATCTTTACGCTAATGGAAGTTGATTTCTGGAGCCCATTTAGATATATATGTGAGGTGTCTATTGCATGACTGGAAATCACTTTCCTCTCTGCTCACTTTGCTGGAGGCCTCAGAGATGTGATTGGTTACTGCTCCCATCTCCTAGTGGTCCAGTCTGGTTTTGAGGGCGGTTCCAAAATAGAGCCCTCAGATCTTGAGGCAGCAGTCATTTCTTTTACCACTGTCTTTTCTTGGTCTGATGGTAGCATCCAGGTAGATTCAAAAATGTGAGCTTTCTTAACCACAGGTTTGACTCTGAGAATCACAGAAGCACTTGCCTTAATGACTTTTTAATTTTAGCCTTCCACTAAAATGGAACAGTTTGAAAGTGAATTTTAAGAATTGTTTTGTAAATTTCAGAAACCAAAGTAGTAGTAGTATTTTTTGTTACTAAGGAGAACATACCCCTTTCTACATATTGCCAGCTTAGTATTCTTAAACTTCACTAACAGTAGGAGTAAAAAATATTTTCTTCTTTCTTTCAGCTGGTTTATCATGCTTTGCAATTGTTAGCATATACAGCCCTTGGTATTTTAATTATGAGACTAAAACTCTTCTTGACACCACACATGTGTGTTATGGCATCACTGATCTGCTCAAGACAGGTAACATGTTATGTTGGAGTATAGCTACTGTAATAATTTTAGCCTTTATTGTTGAGTGGCCCTAAAATAATGAATTACAAAGTCTTTTAAGTGATTATAGTTAAAGCTCTTCATGGTTTTGTACTTATCTTTCTTAAAGGGTAAGGGCCAAAGCTGATCATTTTCTATCTTTCTAAAGACTTTAAAATAGCTGTTGGTGTACAACAAACACTGATTTAGTACAGACTGACTTCATGAGTGGTTACTGCAGGTGCTGATAGAAAGCAGAGCTTAATTGTACAAATAAAAACTTTTTTTGTTTTGACATTCATATCACGAAGAATTCTAACAATGTCAAGTTATAAGTGCTTGAAAATTATATGGTCTTTTTTTTAGTGTCAAAATTAAACTTTTTTTTTTCATTTGGTACACATTTGGTGCACATTCTTGACTTGTGCTTTTTAAAATTTAGTTTAAGCCTTCCTTGGGGGTTTGCTGCTAATTTTTCCTGGATAACTGCCTCCTTGCTCTGTATTCACAAACTGATGCTTCTTCATAGTGTCACCTTTCCATCAGTCAACCAGCCTACGTACAACAGCAGCACCTCCCTTAAACATAGCAGATGGTCACTAAGCACCTACACTGTGCACTCTAGGGATGGAGGATAGAGTAGTGGACAGAAAAGTCAAAAGCCAGTGTTTGTAAGCCCTCAAAAAACTTGAAATCTAGCTCTGTAGACATGCAGAGAAAGATCAAGAGAACAAAGTGTTGTTATGGAGTGTGGACTATTTGAATGTGGAAAAAAGTAGCCAGCCTCGAGGTTCCCAAGCAGAACATTGATTATATTAGAAAGGCACTACTTTCCTCCTTTCTGACCCCTTCAGGCTGGCACAGGAGAGGAGGCTGGTTGGAAGCCTTTAATCTTGAATCTTTATCCCACAGTATGACTGATGATATAGGTTGGTGCAAAAGTAATTGCAGGTTTTGTCATTAAAATAGCAAAACCCGCAATTACTTTTGCACCGATCTAATAGAAAGTGTCACCCAGGGCAGGTTTTGCAAATGTGGGGTTCCTGCTGGTCACACAGGACCTCGCATTCAGAAGGACCTTGAACTTGGTTGAATGTTTGCTGCTGCTGTTTTGAACGTCTTAATAATTTTTTAACAAGAGACCCCACATTTTTGTTTTGCACTGGGCCTTGTAAATTGCATAGGTGGTTGTGGCTTTACTTGAATCTGGGAGTAGAGAAAGCAGGTTGAGAAAAGAGCTTCCTACATTGTGTTCCACTTATATGAGGCTGATGGTAGAATTCTTTTGATTCCAAAGATTATTATTTTGGGGCTTTTTCTTTAGGATAATTAATCCTTTTTTTGGGACTCTAGCAGAGGCCACATTCTTCTCTGGGAAGAAGTTTTGCATAACATTGCATACTACTTTATACTAACAATTACCAATATATTCTTAATTCGGTTTCAGCTATTTGGATGGCTCTTTTGCAAAGTACATCCTGGTGCTGTTGTTTTTGCTATATTAGCAGCAATGTCAATACAAGGTTCAGCAAATCCACAAACCCAGTGGAATATTGTAGGGGAGTTCAGCAGTTTGCCACAAGAAGAACTTATAGAGTGGATCAAATATAGTACTAAACCAGGTTAAAAAAAAAAAAAGTCGTATTTTTTAGCTGTTTTTCCCACAATTTTGTATACCACTGCAAACTCTTAAACCCTAGTTACTTCCGCTGATCTTACTCTTTCTAAGCAATGTTGCTTTTAGAATATCTAAAACAAAGGAGATATCAATCCTGTTTAAATGGTTTGCAGGGGAAATGTTATACATAAGTTCTTAGTAATTTATTCTGCCATTTTTTATAGATTTTAATTTTTTCAAAATTTATTCACAGTCATAAATGCCACATTTAAAATAATTTTTACTGTGCTTATTTTCTTAATGAATTTTTAATATTAGTCCTTCACATTCCTTCTTGAAATAAACTCACTCATGGAATAAAATAATTTTTACTGTGCTTATTTTCTTAATGAATTTTTAATATTAGTCCTTCACATTCCTTCTTGAAATAAACTCACTCATGGAATGTGATATTTTACTCCTGTGTGGAAAGGGAGTCTTTGTTGTCATCTGAGTGTCAAATGATTGAATACTAAATCATCTTCCAGAATTCCTTGTTACTATAAAGCTTTCCTAGTCCATTTGATACTTCTTTTCTAGATTCAGGAAAGATTTCTAAGATTTTTTTCTTTAAAGAAAGAAAGAAATCTTTAATGATAAGATGATGAAGTTCTATTTTCCAAGGAAAATAGTTTTCCCAGACCTGGCTGCCAACTGCTACTTTATCAGCCATCTGACCTCATTCTAGTTCTGCCATTGAATCTTGAAGTCATGAACCTGCTGGGCCTCCGCTCTGTTACCTGTGAAATAATTGATTTAAACTTGAAGGAGACCCCTTCTCACCCTCACTGAGTGTCTTCCTGAGACCTTCCTTCCTCTTGCTTTCCAGATGCAGTGTTTGCGGGTGCCATGCCCACGATGGCAAGTGTTAAGCTCTCTGCACTTCGGCCCATTGTGAATCATCCACATTATGAAGACGCAGGCTTGAGGTCAGTGCACAGTCTTGCATCATCAAAACAAACCTTCCATGCAAACAGACAGTGAGTGGAGGACGCCAGCAAAGGAATGAGGAATGTTCCAAAAGGATATGATGAACTGAGGCTTATCGCGTCGGGGAGCAGAAGGCTGAAATAAGACTGCTAAGCTCTAAACAAATTCGTTAAGGCTTCACAGGGCAGGAAAGCAACAACTTTGGGGGCCATCTTCTCTACCAGGCAGAAAAAGGAAGTCATACTACAGCACTTTCCCACAGGTTAACAGGGCTCTAAAATGTCCAAGTTCTTTTCATCCTGTAACTCCCTGAAGAGTTTAGCTTAGAGTGTTTATTAAGGTTTTCTCATAGGTGATTTTTCTTGATTTTGGAGAAGTCATTTGAAATAGAATTCCATTCAAAGAGGAGTTTATTCTGGTTTTCACCAGTATAGCCTGTTAGAATGATCTTGGGTGTTTTCTGTTTTTTTAGATTTTTTTGAGACTTTAGAAAATAATTTAGAGACGTGTTGTCTAAATTATTTTTTTAATTTAATTTTTCATGCAGTTTCTAAGGCAGGTGAAGCTATTCATTTTCTAAGTGATTAGGTGAATCTTATTAGCATCTTCTTTTGCATAACAATGGCATGTACATTTACAAATAAGCTTTTTCATTAAAAAATCAATCTCATCAAGCTAATTTCCAGACAATTTTGTTAAATAAGTTTAGTTTTTCTTAAGTCTAGAAATAAAACGAAGAACCATTTAGTGTGAATTACTGTTGATGTTGAAGTTGGGACTGTTGCAGCTTCAGAGTAGTCCTGTAGTTGTGTTTGCTGTAGTTCATCCCTGTTCACACACAGTACCTCACTCTTACATGTGATGGAGCAGTGAAGAATTTAAGACAAATCAATAGGTGAACAAACACAAAGATGACCAAGTTTGGAAATGTAGGGGTGCGTTAAAGGTGACCCTCATCTCCCACGACTTGGCCTCCTTCTGCCTCCTGCTTTTGACCTCACTGATGCCCGTTAGCCGGAACTTCCATGGGGAATTTCCTCCTGACTGGATTCCTCTTCCTCGTCGTCTAGTCTGATTCAGTGCTTTCTTCCAAATGTGTTGATTATATCGTTTTAATCTTGAAAATTTTGTGCCCAATTATTTTTCTTTAAAGAGCCAGAACGAAAATAGTATACTCAATGTATAGTCGGAAAGCAGCTGAAGAAGTGAAGCGAGAACTGATAAAGTTAAAAGTGAACTATTACATTCTAGAAGAGTCATGGTGTGTAAGAAGATCCAAGTGAGTATCAACACAGTTAACATTTTATAATCAGAAGACACGAAGATTAATCCAAGCACATGGCAAATGCTTTGCTGTTGACGGGGGGGTGTATATAACATAAAGTATACGCGGAAAAACTTTTTTTTTTAAACAGGCTCTCACTCTGTCGCCCAGGCTGGAGTGCACTGGCGTGATCTGGGCTCACTGCAGCCTCCGCCTAATTTTTGTATTTTTAGTGGAGATGGCGTTTTGCCGTGTTCGCCAGGCTGGTCTCAAACTCCTGGCCTCAAGTGCTACTCCTGCCTTGGCCTCCCAAAGTGCTGGGACTACAGGCGTAAGCCACCATGCCTGGCCTGAAAAAACCTTTTAGATAGTGATTTGGAGACTTTCTTTTCTAGTCTTTATAAATATCTTTTTTTAAAATAATGATTTGTGTGTGTGCTACCTTAAAGAGATTTTTATTGGCACTAGTTGATAATCTCCCTAATTGTTCATATTTGCTTTTGATGTTTTTTAAAAAAAATTCTATTTAAAGTTGGATGTATTTTCTTTCAAAAGACTTCCAGGGTCTGAAACCAAGTAATAGGGAGTCTCTTTTGGTGAAGTCAGGCAGCTGAGCACCAGGGGCCGCATTATCCGTACTGGGTCTCTGTGCTACAC